CTTGGGGATGACTATTTCATAGGAAGAGTAATATACTGATCCCAGGTCACCGTACAGGCTTGGCAGGAAAACCAATACCAAGAGCAGCAGCATCCCGAACCTGACATGTGAAGTTCCTGGCTTTGGCGTCAGGCTCAAGTCCCTTTTCTGCTGAGCCAAAGCATGAAACTGTACCTTACCCCCTTTCAAGGCCACTTGTCTTTTCCATGGAGAAGGCAGTACAGAGGCAGAGTCTCTCACGGAGTCTGCCACTGACATGGTCTTAGGGAATCAGTTGATGATGCAGGGGCCGTGCCCAGCAACAGGAGCTCTCCCTGGCATGCTGAGACTGGAGACTCAGGTCTCTGCCCCAGATCTATGCTGGCTCCCTTATGGGTGGGTGCTGCCCAGCTCTTACAGACTTCAGAGCTGTGTTTCTGTTCTTGCTCTTCTCTCTTGGCCTTTGGCAGTTTCCTTATTTTATGGCTTCCTTCCAACAGCAACAGTTTTAATGCTCCTTGGCTAAGTTCTGTTTACCCTCATAGAGAGAGATACCAAGTAGAAAGCCTGTATTGATTCAGCCAGTACTGCTACTCAGGCAGAATATCCTTAGCTTGGCCCAGGCCACACTACTCCTGATAGCCGTTAATTTGCTCATTCTTTGAAACCCAACATTCTGGCAGGAGATCGGGGGGAGGGGACAGGGATTCCTTGGGGATCTCTGAGCAGGACAAAGTTCTCTGTTGCCCATTGCCTCTTTTCCCTATTTCTGTAGTATTGAGAATATTATTTCCCAGTCCAACCCTCCTTTATCATGGTCTGGTTTTCCCCTTTAATTCAAGAAAACTTCTATGTGGATACACAAATTCTCCCTCATTAACTTTTGTTCATACTAGATGAGTTTAGACATTTTGTATCTGCATATTAACGTAATTTTTCTCTAATAAGAAGCTTTCCTAATGCACAGACATATTAAGTGTTAAATGAAATGAGCTCAGTTTCACCATGAGGGCTTACAAGTATCTCAAATCCAAGTTCAGTTCCTTCCAACTGCCCCATCATACAAACAAAGTCCAGAGTAAAAAGAAACTCTGATTGACCAGGTATCTAGTTATCATTTCATCGAGAAAATTAGAATGGACTATATAAGAACTTTTTAAAGACTTCGCTTTTGTAACTAAAATTGGACTGTAATGTCTATAGAAGTCCTCAGATTTGGTTTTGGTGTCGATCTCCTGGTGTATTTAGCAATACAATTTTAAAAGGAAAAAAAGGGGGGAAATGCGCTATCTATCCACATTCCCAGTCAGGTATTCATTCTCCTTTATATACTGAGATGAACTAAACAAAGACTCTACCTCTTTTATCTTTTCATAAAAATAATTTTATATTAGGTCAGATATTTACAACATAATATCTTCAAAATAAGGGTTATGACTAAGTACCACACAATGGAGAAATGCCCTTTCTAATTCAAAAAGGATTAGTACATTACTATCAGATCTCAGATATGAGCACGAAAGCAGATCAACTCATTAACTATGTCCAATTAATGTCACTTAATTTCCTAATACAGATGATAAAATTTATCATCTGCATCCAGCAAGGAAATTCATACTGTCATATCACAAACCCATTAAAAAAAGTAGAGGAGAAATGGTGAAATGATTTCTAGCTGGGTTTCTTTTCTCCTTATATTTTATATAATAAGAAAGCTTCTTAAAGTTAGCTAATTTGGAAATTATAACATTTAAGATATTCCCCTGTGTCTTAACCAAAGAGGCAGGGCAAATCAGGTTAAGTCATTTTGGGGGATAAAAGAATCAAATCAATAATGAAAGACCACTTCTATTTTTTAAATAAATAAAAATATAATTAAAATTAAATATCCAATTTTCCAGTTCTCAAATTGAAACACATTTTTAAAATAAATACACGTGCACGCAAGCATTCACACACAAAATCTGATTTAAATCATTTGACTCCTACTTTAACCAATAAATTCCTTCAACTTATTATATCTCAAATGAATACAAAAACAAAACTCTTTTTACAAAGCAGTTCCTCCTATGTATATGTTTCAAACAATTTCTGACAGATGTTCTCCTATGCTTATACAATACATTAGCCAGAAAAATACAAAAGTTGTTTCACATCAAGCAGATTAATAACTATGGTAAAGTCTTAAGGTATCTGAGTGATAAGTAATGGTTTCAGTGAGCAGAAGATTAGCAAATCATGTAGGAAAACTGGAGACTCCAACCCCCTGCCTCTGAGAACTGTTCTAATAATGTGAACTTTCTGCAGGTACAGGCATTAGAAAGACAGGCCAAAAGAGACAAGGATGATTTTGTTTCACTTCCAGTACATGCGAATTTTGCTTTATTAGTAAACCTGACTAGTAATTTTCAAGCAGAATTTGCTACTGGCCTACAAACAAACTCTATAAACAGAATTCCTCTTTAAAGATCAAACAATGCTGAGTCTTTTGGGAGTTACTGTCAAGGAGCTCTGTGTACGATCGGACCCACTTTTGAGTTACAACAGCTGGAGCATCCTCCAGGGTATTCACAAACTTTCAGCATGGACCTGTCTAGACACAGCACTCATTTTGGAGGCCAGATTAATTCAGCCTGAAGGGACTAAAACAAGAGAAAATGCTGCTCAGCGTAAAAGGAAGCCTCATTTGGATACCTTTTTAGATCATGCCTAAAATTCGCCACATAGTGAAGGAAAAAAATCATCCTGAGCCTTTAGAAGACGCCCAGATAACAAATTTGATAAGTTAACGGTAGACTGGCATGCTAGAAGGTTCCTCTGAAGAAAAAGAAGAGTAACAAAGTTAATTACTGCCTTCCTCTCCCCGGCAGATACTGAAACTCTGCTCTAAGATAAGAAAAACAACAGGTATTTAGTTGTTCCAGCGCAGAGTTTTTCCTGATTACAAGAAGTGATTTGTAACAGAATAATTCAACCCTTAATTCAACTCTCAGCTAAGTTTTCTGGTTAGTAAATAAGAAAACATTGTTTTTCTCTGTTGCCTAACTCTTTAAGTTTTGCTATGTTTAAAAATACTGAATTCTCCTTACAGGGTATCCATTTATAACAGTTATCAGTCACCTAAGATTAGTGAATCTTACCTCAAAAAATGCATTGAATTACCAATTCTCTATGATAAAAAGGAATCAACGTAATAAGGTGGTTTGGATAAGATACTTTGTGTTTTTATCACATATTCCCACAGTCATTCACACGCAAGGGGCATACTAACCAAATGTCACCATGAAAACATATTCAGCAAAGTGGAGGAGTAAGAAAAGAAGTGAGCTCTGTGGGGTCGATTTTGATTGAAGAGAATGTGATAAGACAGAACTGAATAACTGAGCCTACTGATCCTTTTCCTCTCCTCTGTGAACCGGAGGTTGCCTATTAGCTCTTCTATTTACCTACACAGAACCAACAACTAAGAACTGCTAAAAATAAATAAATAACAATGGTTTGTTATGAAAGCCCATAAGCACAATAGCAAACTAGAAAAACATCCAGCCTTGTTTTCCATTCAAATAGCTGATCTCTGGGTCAGAACCATGCTTCCTGAAAATGAAGGGTACTGAACAAAATAAATGCAGCCCAGGGGATGCTAACATGAAACCTAGGCAGAAACATTAAGAGAAAAAAGGTAGCTTTAAGAGCAAATAACCTGGACCATCTTAGATGCTAATCCAATAGTCCAGCTTTTATATGTAACTTTCTCAGAAAAATCATCCCAAAGAGGATCCAGAAGAAACGGGAAAGGAAATAAGAAGTAATGGAGTTGGTGAGGCCTACAGGAAAGGGTGCAGACAGAGCAGGACTTCGCAGGGTGGAGGGAGCAGGGGGGAAGCTGAAGCTCTAGTTACATATGAAAAGAATAAACTCAATAGAGAATCCCATTAGACTTAAGAAATGTACCAATACCTTTCAACAAATATGACAAAAAAGAAATGTTAGCACTTTTCTCTAGGGAATAATGGATAACAGAAATAGGGCTCACCTCCCTGCCTCTTCCATCATGGTAGCTGACATCCTGTGAGTTCCAGCAGGCAGTCTGCAACATGGATCCAAAAACATTTCTTCACACCAGAGCTAATTCCACTGATAGTGCAGAAAGTAAATACACAGGGCAATAGAAGCCAGATTCCACAGTACTCAATTCAACTGTTTACTAAGCAGAAAGGTCAATATAATTGGTCCTTTGCCTACCACTGGCGAGTGGTTTTTTGTATACTTTATTACAAATAAAACATCTTGCTTGACAATGCCATCTGTTATCTTTACAAACATATGACTAAACAATCCTGAAGTAATAGTACATCTCTAGGAACTGGGCTTTTCTTAAAAAACAAACAGATGAACTATACTATTAGTAAATCCTGTATCTAAATTTATACAGCATCTTTAAGCAATGTGGAAATGTAATTATGATTCATTAATTTACATAAAAATTACTTTATACATTAATGAATAATTTTTCAAATTGTTAAAAAACAAAGTCTGAAGCTGTCATTATTGGGATTCGTGAGATGTAGTTTGCTCTTCTATCACTTGCTTCACGATTTCTGCCAGTTTTAGTCGATCTACTTTATCTGTGAATCCACGACCTGAAATCCAAGAAAGGAAAAGGTCAGTCTCCAAACTGCTTGGGAGGTGATAAGATTCTTGATAAGGACCCAATAAGGTACACCTTACCAGTGTCAAATTCACCCTCACCAATGGAGGAACCATCCCCAACACTGATCAAAAGCAGTTCAGATCCCCCATTTTTCAGGTAGCAATTGAGCAGTTCATTAACCTGGCAGTAAAAATCCAATATTCAGTACAATAGCACAGAAGGAAACCATGAAGAGGGAGAAGTTCTTTGTAACACATATAGGTACAACAGACTCATATCTGGACTATTTAAAGAACTTCTATACATCTGTAAGAGAACTACAACTCAACAGAAAAATGGGTAAAAGAATAGGCCCTTCACAAAATCTGAATGACCAATAAACGTTAAAAAGTGCTTGAACTCCTAAGTCATCAGGGAAAGGCTAAGTAAAACAACACTGACTGCAGTAACAGTGGTACTTACTAACTAGAATGACTAAAATAAAAAAGACAGACAACAGCAAGTGTTGGTGTAGAGTAACTAGAACCCTCAAACACTGCTAGTGGAAGTATCAATCCGTACAACCACTTTGGAAAACTGAGTGTCTACTAAAGCCACGCAGATGACTATCCCCACAAACCAGCAACTGCAAGCCTAGATACATGAATGAGTTCATCAGAATATTCACCCAAAGATACACACATGAGAGTGTTCACAGCAGCACTTTCCTTAATTACAAAAACCTGGAAACAACCCACATATCTGTTCAACAGTGGAATGGATAAACATAAATATTAAAAATTTTTGTATACATAGAAAAAAATGTATATATAGAGAGAGAAAGAACATACCTATATTTATATGCATACACATATATATATAATGTGAATGACTTGCTGCTACACACAGCATAGTTGACTCTCACAAATATAATGTTGACTAAAAGAAGCGAGACACAGAAGAATGCAGACTTGCCCGATTCCATTTACATAAAATACAAAACCAGGCAGAAGTAATATATGGTGCTAGAAATCAGGATCGTGATTACCCTTGTGGAGAGGGAGCTAGTAGTTAGAAGAGGGCACATGTTCCACTACATGTTCTAGGTGCTGGGTACAGGGAAGTGTTCACTTTGAAAGTTCACTGAAGTGCACACTTCAAATGTGATCGCTTTTCTGTACTGATATTTCAAAATCTTAAAAAAATAAAAACCCCAGGGACGCTAATCTCTTCCAAGTATGGGCATGGCCAGGCTAGAGCTCTGCATTTATCTCATGTCCAAGAACCAACCCAGGCAATGGGTTTGCTCCCTTACCTGAGCATCCTAGAACTTAAGTCTAGTTTAATCTGCTAAAGTAGAAAGACATTAGAAAAACAGCTCAAAAAGTACACCTCTACCTTGTTTGCCTATGGGGAAAAAATTCAGTAAGCAGCAGATCTGGCACTCTCTACTCTTTAGTGAAATAGGTCTTCTCTAAGCTGAACTCTAAGATCAGCAGGGTGGACTCTGTGGTACTTTGCCCTCTTTCTCCCCTTCAGAGTACACTGCTCCTTAATGACCTGGTGAACAGCTCAGGGATCTGGATGCAGTTCTGAGATCTGACGGGTTTTTTTTCCCAAGTGGCATGTGGCAGGGACCCTGCAGCAATGAATCTGCAACACATAATTTACTTGAACTCTGGAAAAACAAGCAAAATATCCAGATATGCCTGGGCAATTAGTGAAGGGCTAGCCTCCTACCCAACAACATTTCACTCACTCTCTAGCCCCACCTCCCCTGAAAACAGCCCCAGCTCAGCCCCGAGAGATCCTGCATGTTCTAAACACAGTTGCTTCTCTGCATTCCTGAGGAAAGGCATAATCAAGGCTCCTACCATTCCAGCTGAAGCTTTGCAGGGTATCTCTTAGGAGTTTGCATTCCCGGTTATACTTCCAAGCTTCCTGCACTACTTCATTCAGCTTCTCATCTTCATTCTCTCCTATTGATAAAGATGAAGAAGAAGTTGTGTTTTCCTGCAGCATCAGGGGGTTTTAGTGTCAGATATGGAAGGATACGATGTCCAGTTTGCTGAGAAGTGACAGTTAAAGGTGCAAGCTTTACCAGACACTGTCGTTGCTGCGAGTCCCTACAGTACAGGTAGACCGCTTCTGGTCTCTGAACGCCTCTGCTCTGAAAGCCCCACACAAATCCTCTGAATCCCCCAGTCTTAGCACTGAGGGATGGGAAATAGGCAATATCAGACTACTGCTGAGCACAAGTGCCTGGTTAACCTAAGAGACCAAGAGAGGGAGGGAGAACAAGGCTGAGTGGGCTACCTTCTTTCTCCTAAGCTCGTTTCTTCCTTTAGAAGGCTACCTGAGGCACTCTGTGAGTTCTCTTAAAACCCAAGGACTCTAGGAAGACCGGTCAGTTCAACAGTTTTCCAGCCTGCTACTTGAAGCATCTCATTCATCTGCTGAGCAAAGCTCATCACACCCCATTAAGTGGAGAGAGAGCATACTGAAAGCTCTCACTTAAAAGGACTCATGTATAAGTCACACTCTGCTCATGAGACAAGTAGCAGCAGGGGCCAGTTCTGGACTTGGGAGGTCTTCTCTTTATATTCACAAGTCAATGGCAGCCTTGTACTATAAAGGCTCCGGAAATGATGTTTCCCGACCTGCCTGACCTTCCCACCCTAACCTTGACCCTGTCCACATCTTCCATTCTCCAGCCTCTATCCTGTGACCTCGTTAACAAAGTAAGAAAACAAAAAATTACATGCTGTGCCCAACACTGGCAATTAAACCCAAACTAGAAATTTCACAGAAAACCAAAGGAGGAGAAGAACTTAACCACACTTCTGAGTTCCCACTGTCCACTCTTTTCAGTGGGCACAGGCTAATTTATATAATGTACTTATTCTCTTTTAACACAAAGATGAAACAGACAATTTCAAACTAAACCACTCCTTAAGTCATGTGCACATGCACACACACACAGACACACACAGACCATTCGTAAATGATGTAACCTTTACCAGCCTGGGGGAGAATACACTGAGCAATCACATCTCGGAGCTTTTCCAAGGCAACATTTGAATCCTCAGCTCCATTTTCACGGTCGTGGATATAAACACCATCCTTTGGCTTGGTGCTTTAAAAATATGGGAAAGAGATAATAACAAGGTGAGACTGAACAAATGTTAATGCTAGACATAAGGCAACCGATTTTTCAGATAAATAACTATAGAGTATCTCCAACTTCTGATGCTATTTAAAGAACTTACCCTTTCCACCTTCTTACAAGGCAGAAAAAGGGCAGACCCCTGACTGACCTTTCAGAACCCTGCACTCAGTCACACCAGCCATGAGGAAGAATCAAAGAAATAAGCTCAGTTACCCAAGTAATTTCCTCTTCCTTAGAATGGGGTTGTTCACAGAGTGCAGGGGTTTGAGGCTGACTTTCAGATCCTGGATTCGCATGTTGGCCAACTGTTCCGCATGGGCCTGCTGGATTCCTGCAACCACCGCCTGAATGCAAACACTGTCATCAGTTTCTCACAGTCATTTCTGGGCACCTAAAAAGCTAATCTAAGAGAGTGGGGAGGAGAATCTCAAAGAACTAAGAAGGCAATTTCACTATTATGCTGGGTATACAAAGTCTGATTAGGCAGAGGACTCTTCCCCATGGAGCAGCAGGGCCCAGGGAATACCAGGCAAGCCAAGGGCCACACAACAGCTGGCCCTTCTTCCCTGCGGGGAGACAGAAATGCAAGTAAGAAATACTCACATGGCTCATGCTCAGTTGTTGGCAAGGGCAAATGTAAAGAGAGGCATACATGTACATCAGGGGAAAGGCTGGCAGGCTACTGCCTGAAAAGCCTCCCTGACTAGCATTTATTTACTGCCCCCGTGGTGTAGACAGTCACCTCAGCCCTGATGGCTCAGAACCCCAGCCATTTCACATGTTGAGCACAGCAGCCCCTCAAAAAATGATCTAAAATCCAGTCAATTAATTTACAGTGAGAAATAACTGTCATGAATCTAGCACTCTTCAAGTCTGTCTTTATGACCAGTGCATTCTCTCACTATGGGCGGACCAATGCGGGAAGGCAGAGAATCAGCAGAAAGCTTTGTAAGAACAAGAAGATCTCATTTTTGTATTTTTTAAAAAAGGGCAAATTCTGTGTGTCCCTAGAAAAGTGTGTCTGTGTCTCCCTAGAAAAAAATCAGGAAGGATACATGAAACCATAGATCACCTCACCTCTGAAGGGTGAGATTGAGACAGGAGAATGAAAGGGAACTTTGGCCTTTATTTTATATACTTCTGTATTATTGGAATTTCAACAGCAAAATTTGACAGTTCAAAAAAGTTGTTCCTTAGTGAGCATGCAGTTAGATCTGGAACAGTTGGAACTCACTTAAGGGAACCATAGTAACTGGCCCTGGCTACATACATGCCCCTGGACCCTTGCATCTATCTCCCCCTCATCAGCAATGGCCCAATCAAAAAAGATAGGAACAGCTCAAGGTCGTGAGCACAGGCTCCATCTTCTAGGCACAGCTTAGATGGACAATATTCAGCTTCTGCGTATGTGGCCATTTTTCCTACACTCCCAAGTTGACCAGCCTGCATCTTGACCATATCAATTCTTTAAAAATACGAATGTACTGTCACACTACAGTTTCACTCTATAGGCCTAGGAGCTACCTGTCCTCATTAAGAAGATTATGCATATCCATACTTGGCTTCATTATGCACTAGTCTTAAAAGTAACTCCAGAAGTCAGTCAGTCTTCTTCATTTCCAGGATCTTGAGGAAACCCACACTGTAACCCTCAAGTGCTGACAAACATAGGATATAAGTAATCCTTTGTTATTTCGGACTGAACAAACCATTTCTGGACTACTGGACATATCTGAAATAGGAAGACAACTGCACACAAATCAGAGATAACAGAAAACTCTGTTCCTTCTAACTCTCCTCTCCTTTCTCTCCCATAGTCTTAGCATCCTTTCTTCCTATTCACTTACTCCTTCTCCCACTTCAACTCCATCCCTTCTAAGTGGGTAACACTCAGTTGTGTGTCAGTGCCTTTACCTCAGCCACACTGATTCCACACCACACAGCTCATTCATCTGAATGTCTATTTACCACCTTAAACAATATCTAAAACCTAAGCAACTTCCCTTCATCCAAACCAGCTTCATTCCTGAACCCCATGCTACAAATATGGAAACCCCAACCCCATACTACAAATATGGAAAATAGTCAGGCCTTGATCTGGTCTTTTATGGAAAGAAGTTCTTTATTTCTGATCTGATTTTCTGGAAATCAGAAATGTTTCTCTGCGAAAGACTGCGTGCTCTGCGCTGTTTTGCCTTTCACCCCTCACTGAGTCAAACCCCAGCATTCCTTCCCCAAATAGCCTTTTTGGCCAACAGAATAAACATCATTCAAAACCTTATCCATCATCAGTTGAGCAGAGGGTAGCACATTATCCAGGGCCTCAGTTGAGTTGAGCCAGGGGTGATCCAACACTCCCTCGATTGTAAGTCTTTCCTCTGGTTTGACCTTCAAGAGCCTGTGGAGAAAAAGCCAACAGGGCTGCTAGGCACAGTTGCTTCCAGAAGGCCAGGAAGTTCCTGGGTCTGGCTCTAACCAGCTCCAGCTTCCGACTTTCTACCAACTCTAACAAGCCTAGGCTTTCCATCTGCAGCACAGGGGTGGGATTCTTGTCCTTAACCGTTAGTGTGAGGCATTGTGTCCTTAGGTGGTCCTTTCTAGACTAAACAAATTGAGGTTAAAGTGGTAGGAAAAGGCTTAATTCAGTGATACTTCACAGTGAGTTCTAGGTTTAGTAAAGTAATCCTAATTTGGCTTATAGTTCCTAAGACCTTGAATCTTCAGACCATTGTTTATAGGACAGTGGGCTATAATTTCCAAAAGGGACTCAGAGTGCTCTTTTGGCCGATAGTGGCTGCAAAATCAGTTGAGGATCCTTGCAGTTCTGAAAATCCAGGTTGCTACTTGCAGTAAAACTCTTAGATGTCACCATATGGCAGGATATGAACCCTTTATTCCAAAGACATTCAAAAGCTAAAAATCTAATCTGTGAGGAGATGGCATTTCCTTCTAAGCCTAATGTATTGCTCTGTACCATTGACTTTTTGATCATAATTTACATCTTGTCCATTCATGCTTATGCAATTCCTAGCTCACCCCAGCATATTCCCTGGGCCTTTTACAGCACTGCCTTCCAAATACACAGCCTTCCATTCCAAATATCAGAGTCAGGACAACATGTCTACTTGCTCTTTCAGGTTCTGTGCAAACTTTTGGATCATTGTGAACAAACAGCTTCAGATTCTAAGGAAAGGATTGTTTAGAAAAGAACCCCAATGCTGAAATAAGATAATGTTGTTCTGGGGACAAGAGATATATTCTATAGAACTGCAAAGAACCACTTAGAGGATATTGATGTTTTGGCTAAGTTGCTGAGAATACAGCATGGAAATAGCATGGGAAGACCAAGGATGATTTAAACATTGCCTCCACCCTCCTAAAAAACTTTCACTTGAATATTTTAGAAACGAGTTCCTTTTTATATGTATATACATAAACACCTAACCAACAGGATAAGCTCACTTCTGAAAGAGAGTAATCTCCAAAGGAAATGGCTGTACTGTTAGGAGACATTTCCCAGGTTCTGCTCCTTTAATGCTTATTTTTATTGCATTACAGCTGAAGAAACTGAAACCAAAGAAGGAGAAATTACTCAGTGAAGACTAAGCAGTAGGAATGCCAGAACAGTGTCCAAGTCGCAGACAGTGAGCCTCTCACACAGGTAGGCAGAAAAAGCAAATACACCTCAAATGTAGGTCTGATTTCTTACTTAATGCTAATTTCTCCAAAGGACTCTGAATGTCAACTCTCCTTCATCCACTCACTAGCCCTAATTCTTCTAAGTCTTTCCATCTTAATACATGTCAGAGCAACCAACTAGCAGTGCGAAGGCTTGCGGGTGGGGTCTAGGCCCTGAACAACCAATCACACACTCCCACAGCAGCCACAGAGTGAAAAGCCAAAAGCACTGTGCTCATCTTAGCACCCCAGTTCAATTCCAGGAATCATGTCCATTCCAAATGACTAGCCTTCATGCAAGAAGCGTACACCAGGGGGTTTACCATTTAAGGTCCTGAATTAATGCTCACAGATACAATGACTACCCAGGAACCAGGGTTCAACCCTGGAGACAGATTCCAGGAATGCAACAGGAGGGAGCAAAGCTCCAATTTCACGGAGGTCTAGACAGTAAGAACTCTCATCTCAGGCTCTGGGGAAAAATTTCTGTGATGCTAAAATGGGAAGGAGCATGTCTGAGAAACAAAGGACTTTTCTCTACCCAGTAGTCCTTTGTGCCCCACCGCCTCCCCCACCCAGCAGCCCAGGAACTCACTTCCTCACAACATCTTTGGCCATCTCTGAGATCTGGCTCCACTCTTCCTCTGGGAACTCAAAACTGCCCGTCATGATCTTTCTCCGCATATCCTTTGGGATAGTCCGGCTGTGGTGTTTGGAGTAAAAAGGAGGGTATCCGCACAACATCACGTAGATAATCACCCCTAGGGACCACAAGTCACAGCTCTGAAAGCGAAAAGAAAATGGTCACTCACAGCAGAAGCACAGCCCCAAAATAAAGCCCCTAGGGCTGACCCAGAAACAAACCCCTGATACACACAGGCTGATATCACCAATAATCACTTAACAGAGACTGGAAAAGATTCAGCAAGTCTTGAGAGAACTAATCTTTCTTATTTGTTATGTGCTATCAATACTACATATATGCACACCATATATACAAGTGCAGTCTGAAGTAAAATAGTCACTTTTATTCTCACAGCTTAGACCCAAGCTGCTATCTGATTGCTGCATACAGATGTAGAATACTTTGTCCCCAGCCAGAAAGTAATAGATATAAGGCAGCTGGTTGTGAAACATGTATTCTGTCGACCTGGGCAGGGTTGAGGGTGCAGGAACAAAGCAGCTAAGACACAAGTGGGCTGACCCCATAAAATAGCACAAGTCATCTTGTAAAGGCTCAAAGCAGTTTGACACAGATCAGGGGTTTGTTTCTGGGTCATTCTGGAGGGAAGAATGGGAGGCTAAAAGCAATCCTTTGGCCACAAAGGGCTCACTGTGTCCATTCGCAAGACCATACTGCCACCAACTACCATGTCTGTAGGTATTAAGGTGATTCCATGGCCTGTAGTCACAGTACTATTATTAATAAAGGATTCCTATTTTAATTAAATGCGGCTCCACCTGCCTTGGACACTGGGTCCTTAGAGGCTTCAACTCAAGGCTCTCCTGAATTATAGGACAAAAGCAGAGTCTGCCTGAGAAAGGCAGCCCAGGGAGCCTGTCGCTGTGGCCACACGTTCCTAACACCACATCTGTGTGCTGCTCTGAGAGAAGCCTGGAAAATGAGGTGTCTCAGGAACTCTCACCCACATCTTGGCATCATACTCATAAATATTTACACATGACATGACTCATGCTATAGAACATAATCAGAAAATTACAGAGGTGAAAAGAAATCTTAAAAAATAGTTCAAGTGAGGAAAATAGTTCACATGAGGAAACTGATACTTCAGAGATCTCATCACCTCTAAGGTCCTCTGTCAAGAGTGAAAGAAACTAAGTGCACCAGCCAACATCATGCAGCTGAACAGTGGTGGAGTCATAGCAAGTCTCCTGGCCTAATGCCCCCCCCCAATTAAGGTTGATGTATTTACTTAATTTTTGGAAATTTAACTACATCTTATTACATTATTTTTATTTAAAAATTACTTGCAGATGTAGCATTCAGTGTTCTCTTAGTTGCCAATATAAAGATTATAACTAGACCAACATATATACACATTCAGAAGTAATATGAACTCATTATTTCAAAAATATTACTCATCTGTGGTGTGTAAATTTTATTAGTATCATGCTAATTCACAAGCACCCCTAGGTTCACAAAATGGAACAGGAAGAGAAGAAAAAACTAGTACTGGGAAGTAATATATCACACAAGAATCCACTGCGTTCATGCTGAGACGACTGTGTCAAGTAAATGACTCTCCCTTAGCCAAGTGCTTCTACCACTCAATTCCTTCCTGCATGGGGAAGCAGGAAGCAATTTCTGACTCAGACACTATGATTAGCACAGCCCTCACATTAAACCTTCACTCTATTAAGGGCACAGCTGCCTATAAGGTTTTAATTTATAAGTGTGGAGCAGTGATTACCTGGGGACTGAACAGTGTCAATCTGTTAATCAGTGAAAGCAGATGTTTGGGGTTCCAGTCACACAGTGCCAGTGCCAAGTGGGGGTCCTGAGTGCCGCGGGAGCCTGTGTATTCTTTGATTCGTATGCGTGCGTGAGCGTGTGTGTGCGTGTGTGTGTCTGCGTACACGTGCATGTGTGAGTTAGGAATATGTAGGGCCCTGTAAGGTGTGGGACCAAGAAGAGCTGGCCTGCTTTTTTACCAGCCTCAGCTCCCTCTCTGTCACCTACATCACCTTGAGTCCCCGAGCAGCAGCGTTTCTTTCTGATCTACTCAGTGACTCCAGGACCTCCAGGACCTGTTTCAAGAAGCCCTAAACCTCTTGTACTTTAGAGAAGAGAAGTTTGATGCACAGGCTACAGATTTAAGAGCTGTGATAGTACCATGTAGCACTTAAGGATACTTGCTATGTGTACTAGACCCTGTTCTAAGTTGGGTATTTTATGGGGTTAGAAATAAGGGCACCATAAATGGCCAAGGAATATTCTCTGAAATGGTCTCCACCTCAAAAGAGCAAGACAAACATATCTTTTAAATATGGTCAGTGGACTACCCAGCTAGCCAAATGAAAAACCTCCAGGTGACCATCGTCTTTGGTTCCTGCTGCAAAACCTAAATTGGTAAGAATCTTATTTCATATTTCATCAGACAAAAACTTGAACTCCAAATACTCTTCTGCATGTGTGGCTTCTTTCAGCCTCTTGGGCAGGAATATTAAGGGACGAGAATGGAATTTACCACCTTCCCAAAGGGCCACAAACACCTCATAGGAGAAGAGGGACTACACCCGAGGGGTGAAGAGAAGTGTCTCTTCTGCTACCTTGTTGTACGTGTAGGGTGTTGGCGAGGTAGGTATGATGCCAGATTTCTCCTTCTGATGCCTTCTTTGTGCCTCCAGTACCTGTCAGAGTCATAGAAAGGGCACAGTTTACTAAAAATCACACCAATGATCTGCAACTTGAGATAGACTGCTAGAAGGCTGAAGAGGGTAGTCAACAATCAACAATTTAAAAAAAAAAATTCTACATAAACTTTCAAAAACCTTTTTTCTCTCTTACAATCAGCAATTTATCAGTGTGTCTGCCTAGGTCAAGGACATGAAGATCAAAGTCCCTGAAGGAGACTTATCTCTTCTTCCGCCCATTGAAGCATCTGAGATTACCGACTTTTTCCTGGGGGC